TTCAGAGGCATTAATGATGAAACGTAATTCTCTAAAGGCATCAAGAAATTCTGCGTCAAATCAAGTATCCGGCGTTGTAGTTCTGTCCCATCCGTACAATCTGAATTGCTGATCTTCAAAAGATCTTTGAAAAGCGTCTTGTCTTTTTGAAGAAACATTTTGTATTGACTAAATAAGCCATACTTTGTTTCAAGGGCACGTTTATTCCAGATTTTTCTGCAAAAGTTTCCATCATTGTAATAATAGTCGAGGGACCAAACAAAAAAACGAGTTTATGGAAACGACTAATTAACGCATTTATTTACTTTAATTAAAACTGTCTTCTAGATTTTAGTCAAACCAAAAATGAAACATTTTCTAATAAACAATAAAACAGTGGACATACTTCCTTTTTCCTCCAACGGGGATCTGTTGCTCCTGTGAAGGAACCAGGCGAATAATATGAGGCCAGTTTTGAAATACTTTTGTAAAGAATGGATTTGTCACTCCAAGAATCACATTTGGCCTGGAAAAAAATATGAAACGTCAAAAAAGTTTTAAAAAAGTGAGGGCATTAAATGACTTACAAACTTAGAATTCTTGGTTTAATTTAACAACTACGTCTTAGCGCCTCCTATATGTTCATACTCAACAGAAGTACAGAAAATGAGTACCATGGATCAGTCCTCGACGAATATTCCCGAAATTCAGTATCATGAATTGTGAAGAAGGGTCGATAGTCACTGGAATACCTAGAATTACCATGATAGAAGTTAAAAGACAAATTTTGGACACAAATATCTGAAAAGCAGAAAGGAAATAATGCTATATTTGCATATAAATACCTTAAAGGCCATATCAAAGAAATCAGAGACTGCACGAACGCAGAACAATCCGACGGATTTTGAGCTAGCACCACAACTGGCTGAAATAATTTTCCTTTTAATTAGACATTTCATCTCCAAATTAATACAGATTTCTTCAATTTATAATCCTCATAAATCTGACATGAAAAGAATATGTAAGGAAAATAAACTATGAGAAAAAAAATTACCTCTCCAGTCAACACTAATTCCCATAATAACTGCACATGGTTAACAACAAACAATAAACTTCTGAAATAAACTTCTTTTTCTTTTTAAATGTGATGCTGAAATCAGCAACATTTCCCACTTAAGACATTCAGAAAACTCAGTCGAATAAATTTGTCAACTTACCCAGGAATATTCGATTTATTCATTATGGATAATAAAACTGGACTTTTATTGGGTGACATTAACTGAAAAATTTAGAAATACATAAATCACCAATTTTCAAAATGAATAATACCGTTTTGAGTCTACGACAAAGCGAAATCAGATTTAAAACTAGAAGTTGAACTCGACCTTCTATCTTTCTTAAAATCTACCATACGATGACCGACTTCAACCCAACTTATTTGAAACTTACCTTAACATTCATAAGATAACTTCTTTGGGGTGAATATACATCAATTTGGCATGGAATCCGACACTGTATTACATTCCCCATTAGTGGCAAACAAAGCACGATACCAGGGATGGGAATCGACCACTGATCAATGTGATGACAAGCTAAAATTTGGAATAATTATAAAAGGAAAAAAGGAATGATAAGTCGCTATCTTGCCACTACAAAAATGTTCTTGGTAATACTTAACATAAAATATATAAGACAGTAACTCTGTCAACTTAAGTCTCAAGCTACTCTTTTGAGATCACATCACATTGCAAAAGGTATTTATTACACAATAAAAAAAAAAAAAAAAAAAAAAAACGATTATCAAAATGTATTGAAGCTTTACTGCTTAATGCTATAATCATACCTGCTTCGATCGCTGGTTCTCCAGAATCGAAAAAGCCTTGCGCAATTACACCAACAACAAGTGAAAACAAATCAAAAAGAGGCAATACTGTTAGTAAAACAAGACTCTGAAAGTGATTTGTTTAAAAAATACATGTTCATTTAAAAATTAAATGAAATTCATATATTCATTTAAAAATTAAATAAGTGACAAGACTAATTCCTAACAACAAAAAGCTTAATAATTAGAAGAAACAAACCTTTTGAAAGTAACCACGTGGCAAAGAAGAATCTTTCTTTTGTCTACAAATCAAACCAAACATAAGAAATATGTGAGTGACAAGTAAGCAAAATATCAGTTCAAGATAAAACGTAAAATATGTTTAATTGAAAAAATGATTGAATATTTCAGAATTTTGACAAATAAAATTACGAAAAAAAAGACTTATTGTTCCGAGTAATAAAGCAGCATAGAACAAACCTGGAATGAACAAACCCATAAAAATATTGAGGATCGGCATCAATAGCTGCTGGCACGCGTTCCGAGTATGTACCATATGCAGATAACTTAGAACCAGATGATCGACGTATCCGGAAGTGAAAATTGGTATCACGTGCCATGCCACAATTGGAATCCGGGAATGACAAGTAACATATACTACTTCTCTCATTAACCGTCAACTGTGCATCACCGGGATAGACTACCTGGAAAATTAAGAACATAAATAGCACAAAAAAATCATTGAATTCGAAGTTCGAATTGCAAACTTCCGCGTTTAACCTTAAGAAATTCACGAAAACTAGTCTGTACAAATCGTAACTTTTGTCTAGGTCTCCATTAGTTCTATTCAACTATTCAACTTCAAGTTTACTAACGACATAATGAATGTCGTAACATGGCAGAAATTTTGTAAACAAATACTTTAACTACTACCAATTCTGCTATTTCTTGACTTCCTGTTAGATAAAATTTAGGAGAAGATATTTTTGGAATCAACTCAATTAAACTCAACACTTACTTCAATTGACTGCCCCAGTTCAAGATCGAATGTCACTACACAGATGCAATACACCCAACGACCGAACTTCTCCCACGGTGGTGCATCAAATGTTTCCATGTCGTTTGTATTTGCATTCATGTCAGCTTATAACTAATTACCAACTGATAACAGAATAATCACTTCCATTCTAGGAAATTTGTGAAGTTGATACACTGCTAAGGTTGTCCTTATAATGCATCCCTTACACATGAAGAATACAAACTTCGCAAAACATCAGCTGGCGACTAACAAAACTGAAATTAAATTCAAAAAGTAGTGAGGGACAACAATCACACAAAATGCTTCATAAAAATAAAATGCCACTAACAAGTGGAACAGAGTAAAAATTAGGTGGATGGAAGATTGATAGCCTTTGAATAGCGTTAACGGATATCAGCGATTTAAAAGCACATATGATAAGAAGCGGAACAATGATGATTAAAACGATCATACATAGACTGAGAAAATTGGAGATACTCATACTTATTAATAATAGTAAAAAGTACATGTTTCTAGAAGGAAACTATGAAGTTTCATACAATTGAGAAGGAACCACACAAAGAGAAAGCCATTCAAGCAACACTATTTAGACCAAACAATTAAGCCGAAGAAAGGCTATTGCACGGGTTTGGATGCAAGTTGCGGCGTACTGCACGAGAGTTCCGCTGTAGTAGTATGTTATTTGTTTGCTAACTTGTTCAATCAAAAGGACAAGACTAACAATTGGAGCACGACTTGTTACAACAGCATAATACAATACTGTCTATTGTTTGGTATTTTTTTTACATTAGTTTTACCATTACTTTTTATGCAATCAAATTATGTATGTCGTATATCTGGCAATATTTATCATTCCGATTGGTATATATTGATTAAAGCAAATAATCCAAATAAATCTTGTCCACACCTTTTCTACCTCTTCTTACTGTTTTTAATACTCTAAATAAGAGACAAATTAAAAAAAAAAAAAAAAAAGAAGAACGAAATGTATGTCATAACTTGTTTTATTTTAGAAAACATGTAGCTCACATAAAACAATGTGACACCATCATATTTAATGATACACATGCACCGCAATTACATCATATTTGATAATACGACAAACTGATATACGTCATGTTTAACTACTACCACAATATACATTGTGTCTGTTGGTAGATGATATTACGTAATATACATCACACTTTTCGAAAAACAAAAGTTAAAATAAGTTAGGAATTAGTAATCATACTAATGTAACTGCTGAGGTACATAAATGATGAGTGGTATATAAGAGTGCCTTATATGAATTGAATGGAAGAGAAGGAGGACGAAGAAAGGGGAAACCAGTTTTAGAATATCAATTTGAAGAAGGCCAAGAAATGTGACACGGTTACCGTTCTTCTTTCAACAGTTGTATCAAGAAAAACAGGACGGAAAGGGAAGGAAAGAAATAGAGGATAGTATTCGGAAATGTCAACTATATTACTGGAAAATACGGAACACTTTCGTTTACTTCATTCCTCCTGATCCCCACCAATAAGCAACAGTGGTGGACTGTTTATTTGTTGCATCCCTAAACACATCCATTTTTTTCTTTGTTTTCAGTTATAATCAGTATTACGCTAAGCTTGAATCCATGGTTTCAGCATAGCTCTAGAAAAAGGAGAGAGAGAGAGAGAGGAAGGAAGCAACGTAATGTCATGTTATAGAAATAACGTTTCTTGAAAAATGAAATGTAAACAAATGACGTCTCAATATGGCTCATAGTATTAATATTGCAACAGCTGAAGGTTTCAGTTTTAGCATTCTTTGACGAATAGTACTCGAGTAATCAGTTTAATTTACTTTAAAAAGAGGTGTCTAACTAGGATTTGCAACTGCTTTGTTTCATCCCTATTTATTTTCTTCTGATTCAACATTCTATAATGAGAATGAAGAAATACTGCTGCCCTAGAATTACCGACTTTTGATTTAAACTTCCCGACTTTCTTTGAGAACTTTTTGGCTTTTCATCATATTGATTTCATGCTGTTCTGTTATAAAAGTAGTAATGTATTCGATATTTGTTGTATTTCAAGTTTGATTATTTGAGATGTGGTCGCTTTTTTCAAATTGTTCTTCATATCTGTTGATTTTGTTTTCAGATTCGTTATTGTCTTATGATTGCTGCTTAAATTTATGCACGAATTAAGCCAGATCCCACATTTAAATGGAAATGTCAAGCAAATATGTGCTCGACTTAAGCATGATCAAGCGTCCGATAGCGCTATCATCAAAGAACTTTCATCGTGTAATAATATTAGTAAGTCAGGTTGTTATTACTTCAGGCTATATATATTTCACTGTGTAAATGCAAATCTACCAAGCAGCTACTAAGGTCGATACTGACTGATCAATGAACTATTAACAATACCGAAATTTAATACAACATTCGAGTTTCAGGATTTGTCTCTAAATTCGCCTTTGTCCTTTAACAGCTGACTTTGAATGATTCATTCATGATAAATTTGTGTTAAACCCATTTTGTTGGAATTAAAATCATGTCTACATTTGGCTAATGCAATGCTTCCAATTTTTGATTGCAAATAAAGTTCAACTTCAAATATTTTTTAGTAGAACAGAGGAAAATACTTTTCGAAGGTAGTAAAATTATTAATGAACAAAATTCACCAAGAAGGAAACAGAAGCCCGCTGTAGCACGGAAACTATGGAAAGACGTAAGTCATTTGAATGCCCGAATTAAATTAGTATAAACTTCACAGGTGACATCGTATTTGGGTTTGAAAGCAGTAATCAGAGAAGCGGACGTTGAACTGCAGTTTTGCCTTTTTAATATCATAAGTGTTAATCGTGATAAGAATTAAGGAATAATTAGCCCTCCACTTTTCTATTATTTTTTCTCTGTGATTTATCCACTCTTAAAATTAGAAAACCAGAAAAGAAAAAGAATTATATTTGGCGAGACCTGTATTTTCTAATTTAGCTTTATATTTTAGCCAACGCCTCTACTTCCTCCAATGAGTCCAGTGCACAGTGAAGATGGTTTTTTTCCCATTAATACTGCAAGGTAGCTTTTTTGCTGGTTTTTGTGTAATAAATATTAGGATAATCCGGGATGATAGAGACTCATAGTTTTGGAGCTTCATAAATTCATATTTCGTATTTTTAAACCTGAATTTTATGTACAGAAGATCTTGTTTTCTAATTATGAAGATCATTTTTTATACCGGCTATGTACTTTTCATCTTTTTGCTTCGAGTTTATTCTATAGTTTTCCATTTTCAGGATTTTTTTTTTACTATCTTTCTTTAGATTACATAACGACAATCGCATAACTCCAGCAAGTTCAAGCATCGCTTCGGATTCCGATAGTCGGTGGCATCATGTGAAAGTGCGAAGTGCAGTTGCATTTTACGATGATTTAATTGAAACCGGACTGATGATGTCACCAACTGTTTTTCGTAGTCCAAGAGATTCATCACTTGACCAACAAATGTGTTATTTGAGTTGTTAATGCTTTTATCTTATTTTTGTAGGCAAGTTTGCGTGTTCGAGACAAAGTTTCTATTGTTTTGAAGAAAGGGCTAATGACATTCATGAAATAAGACCTGCATTTGATTGGTTTATCCGATGATTTGCAGTTTTTATATGTTGTAGCATTGCAGTTCTATGAGGTCGTCGGTTATTTCGGATGGTTCTTGGATAGATTTCCAACTTAGTAGTCCACTTTCTAGTGAAATAGAATCGTTGTGTTCGGAACAAAGTTTTGATTGTTCTGAAGAAAGAGCTGAAAATACAAATGAAAAAACTTTGATTGCGGAGAAAAATTTCGAATCAGATGTAACTTTGTAAGCTTTCTGCTTTTATAAAAAATTTACAGTCCCACGGTTTCTGCTGAACATCGTATTGAAAATGTTATAGCAGAGTTGCAGTTTTTTTTTATTAGTGAGTAAATTTATGTCATTTGACTTTAATTTGTTAATCTAATAGGTGTATTTTAGTATCTTAGTTTCGATGTACACAGTAATACTGTGGTTCTAGGAGTAACTTGCTTTAATTCAAACTTCATTTTCAACTTTTAGGTGTCAAAGTCCATCACTTTCGTTTTATTTGTTAATAGGGCTAGAACGGAATCTAGAAAATATTAATTTTCGGATAATTATTGGATGTAGTTGTAGTAGAAGACTTGAAAAACAATGCTTCCAGAGAAGCTCGTGGATGATAGCCATTGTTGATTAAAATAATTTCGTTTTTATAATGATCATATAAGTTTTGTACATTCAATTTAGAAAAGGAGCCAGAAATCGGATATAGATCAATGGCAAAATACGTTATGGCTTAACTTTATTTTTCCTTTCTTTTTTGTGTTGATATCCTCTCTAAACGTTTTATCGTTTTTCCCTCTTTCTTTCAGGACATCGAAAGATGTGATGGTGTATAGTTCGAATACTGCTGGCAATTCGAAAATACGGAAATCAAGGGTGATTTTGCACAAACAAGTCGTTCTGCCAATTTTTTTTTTTTTTTATCACAAACAGATTTAAATACTGCACATGTCAGATTCGTTTGGTAATTTTTTTTTTTTTTAAGTGAAGGCATGTGTATTTTAGAATCTGGAATCGAATTGCGAACTGTTGCTTTCTTGCGATTCTGAAGCTACGTCATCAAAGCCTAGCAGTGATGCTTACAGCTTAACTAATACGCTTTGTCATACTAGCATAGTGAGCCCAACAAGGAATTCATTCGATTGTTCAATTATGGACACTGTCTACAACACCGGTTCTCAGGAAGAGGTTTCTTTTACAAAAAAAAAAAAAAATTGCGGCGGTAAGGTGGAAATAGAAGAAAAGATTACGGACGAATTTAGAATTAGAATAGGATGAGGTCAATATCTTATTGGGAGATGTTTATTTGTGTTTTTATTTTCTTTTATTTTTTATTTTATTTATCCATAGAGATGGAAGTCAAGTCTCCACTGGAGATTTTGTGCAAAATGAAGTTATTCGAAAGTCATCATTAAAATGAATGAAGTGAGGATTATAGGATCAGAGATTAAAGAAGCTTCACTATGCTGCAGTCGAGATTTATACAGTTGAGAAGAAATTTGTTGAACAACTGGAACTTATTGCTGTGGTAAGATTTTAATTTTTAGAGTTGACGAATACTATTTTTTACGAAGTATTTTTTTTTCTTTATCTATGATTATTTCTCAGAAATATCCTGAATTTTTGACAAAATATGGGAAGGAACTGGGGATCGATTTCTTAAAAACGCTACCAAATGGATATCCTCATTTGATCAGTCGGATAGCTCAACAGCTTCTGATGGTTAAAGAAGCACATAAGTTTTTGTTGGAGAAAATTTCGTCGAAAATTGAGAATTGGTATTTTTTCTTTAAATAATAGTTATGACTTTTCTTCATTAGAAGAACATATGATCTGAGGCGATATAAAGAAAATCATTAAACAAAAAGCGTACGAATAAGATTTTGCTGACTCTGGGTAGCGTTAAAAATTATTATGAAATATACTTTGGGAGTTGTATTTATATAATGGTGAAAATTACATAATTCTAGGGATTCGAGAGTTCCAAGCATGGCAGAATGCTTAAAAAACGGTGCTGGCTTATTGAAATGCTGTCTACCTTACCTCAAAGAAAAGAGGAAACATGTTGATGATTTCATCAGACTGCTTCAAGAAAATGAAGAATTAGCTCGGGCAACAACAAAGGTGAGCAGAATTGGGATATTTCGAAATGAATTACTGTTATTTAATATGTTTCTCTAGGTTTGCTGTTTTCAGTTCGAGGAAGAAGTAATGGGAAAAATATCTATAATTCAGCAACTTGATATTGTTCATCAAAATGTTGTGCGTTATACAATTTTACTAGAGGCATATAAAAAGCACCTAGTGCCTGAATCTGAAGAATTGGGAGTATGTATGGGTTAGTTTCAGTTCGAAGCTTATCTTTTGGCATTCCGAAAAACATTTTTTTTTCTGTTTTTAAGTGGCCTCACACATTCGTACTACCGCTTTTAGTAAAGTTTCATAAAGGAGAAATTTTGTATTATTCAGATGCATTGGTGCAGTTATCAAAAGTATCAGAATTAGTTGATCGGCAGATTAGTCGAGCTGAATTGGAAAAACGTTTAATTGACTTGTATCGACAGCTTGAGGTATTTTTTATGACTGAAGAGAAAAGTAACCTAAATATTCAATAGTTTGCATAAAAATTAAAATTTGCAGGGAAGGTTTAATGTTTTCGAAGCAAATCGTCACCTTTTATTTGAAGGCGAATTGATGAAACAGTCGCGGAAAGATTTACAGCCGCGTTATTTGATATTAGTATGTCCTTTTTTCCAAGAAAAAAGTGTTCATGATGTGGATTTTTCTAATTCGTTTTTTCTTTCAGTTTAGAAGATTCCATTAGGTAACAGAAAATTGCTTGTTAGAAAAGATATGTTATTTTATTGAGGATAACTGAAATCATTTCTTCGTGTAGAATATTGAGGCACATTATCGTCTAATAGCGGTATTCTATTCAGGCTCTTAGTTATAAGATACATAATCATGAGGATATCTATTCGCAACTGGTTTGAAACACCAGCATGAAATCTCAGTTCACATTTGCCAAACCATTAGGATAGCAAAGCTCATGAAAGTAGCAGATGTGAAAAAGACGTAATAAATCTATGGTGTTATATTCTGTCTCTATATAAATATCTAAGGTTCGGACAATTTTTGACGTATTGCAGTTCTCGGATGTGTTATTAATTTGTAAATATTCAAGAACACCTTCGCTTGGAACAGATGCCAATTTTCATTCTGAATTTTATAAATTTCTTGTTTCTCGGATTCGTGTTAAAGCAGAAGAACATGGCGAATACGAAACTCATTTTCAGTTGTACACCACACAGAAAAGTGCCGTTTTTATCGCAAAGTATGTTTTATTTTTTCTGAAGGTTTGTTCATTCCAGGCTCATTGTTTTGTTTATCACTAAAGCAGTTAGGTGTCAGAAAATCTAATCTGCTCTATGTAGAGGGCGAAAAACCATAACAGCTAAGCAGTGTAGAAGAAACAGGTACAACATGTCTGTTTCTTGTACAGGATGTTGTACTTCCACAGTAAGGAACTTGCATTGTTTGACTGATTTGTACTTATAATCTAATTCTTTAAACTTTTGACAAAAGAAACAATGTAACATTTTAACAATGAAAGAATTTTGCTGGATCTTTAGAACGAAGCGAGAAAGAGATGATTGGGTGAAACGAATCAGCGAAGCAAAGATGGAGGCAAAAGAGCTTCGTCACATCAAAGCTGCAAGAAATAAGGTTATTCCTAGATGATTCATGTAAAGTTAGTTGATATCTCTTTTACTCCTAATTTTCCTAATTTCATTTTTAGATCCTCAATGTTCGAGTAATGCATGTAGATGAGCCAACGGATGAATGCACATCGGATACGAAGACATCAAACAATGGATTAGATAATGGTATCTCACTGTCCATTACTGGGAAGCACAAGTATACACCATTATGGATACCTGATCCAAAAGCAACATCATGTATGATGGCTGGCTGCTCTACAAAATTCAACGTTCTGAATCGTCGCCATCATTGTCGTGAATGTGGATACGTTTGTTTTTTTATATTTTCCTTTTGGAGAAACAGTTTTAAATTTTGATTTTACAACTGCTATAAACCTTTAGGAGGAATAAATGTTTTTCTTTTTTTTTTTCGATTTTATCAAGGAAATTTCACTTAAAATATGTTACAAAAGCTATAAAGTGAAGAAAATATGTTATACAGAACTTGTATGTTGATATCACCTTGTACAATAATATGAGAAAAAATTTTTGATATTAAATGACGTTATTGACCGAGAATTCTCATCGCAGATTACATTTTTTTTTCTTGTTTTGTTTTGAATAAGTGAAATTTTCATTTCGGATATAAAGTCGCTTCAAAGATTTTTTTCTAGTAAAAGTTTTGAATGTCACGAAAATTTTTGGATTTCGCTGGATTGATTTTCCTAGTTAGTTGTTAAACATTCATTTACAGTTGATATGTCGTTCTTGTGTTGGTTATGCTCCAGTCAAAACTAGCAGTTACTATGTACGCACCAAAGTTTGTCCAGAATGCTATGTTAAAATCATCAAAAAATGTTTGTTCAATACGATTATTTTTTTACCCATTTGAAAATTTGCATTTTTTATTATATTCTAGAAAGATTGAACTTGCGGTTGAATAATTTCAAATTGCTTAATTTTTTGTTTTCCTATACACTAAATGTGATTTAAGGGAAAGGAGACTTAGGAAATATAACTTTCACAGCTCCGGAAAATGAATCACTTACTAAAACTAATGTTCCCAGTCGAAATGCCGAAGGAGTAGTATCTGGTACTGTATTTCTCAGGTTACTTTTTTTCACTCCGCATTGGATTCATTTCTGTTATAATGTATTACGATCATTTTCATGTTGCTAATGAATCCTTTATTCTTTTCAGGAATCAAAAAGGTGGTGAAAATGAAAAGTGGGGTCGGCTTACATCGCATGCAGATGGTGTCTTAGTGCTTTGCTTTTATGATGCGGAGTTTGTGAGTTTATGTAAATGCTTTGTAAATTATAATAGTCTTTTCCGATGAAAAAGATTTTTACGATGTCTCCAATTACAGAGAAAAAAGTGCTGATAACATACAAAGGGGTCTTGCAGGGTAATTGAAGAATTTGTTAATTGAAAATTTATAACATTTGAGGATGTGGATCCTGTGGCGCGCTATGTTCTTATAGGATTTACACTTTGTGTTCAAGAATTAGATGATGGTGGTCGTTTGTTTGAGCTACGGCATGCTAATCAAGTGAACGAGAGTAGTTGTATTTCACTTCATTTTCGAGTTGCACATTCAGGAAGTGCTGAAAGGTTATTCATTTGGCGTTGATTATTAATATATTGTCGATTGAAGAGGTGTCCTGATATTTAAATTTCAAGTTTCAGGATTTTAATCTTCTATTCCATTTTAGGTGGTATAAGATGCTAAAGAGAGGGTTGGGAAATGGTATTACTATATATCCGTAACTGGTGGAGTTGGAGCTTCACTTCACACACTATTGACACCCATTTTTATAAGTGTACCTCCATCATCAACACTTATTTCTGGTCATTACTTATTTCTTTAGTGTTAGTATTTCACCGATTATATGAGTTTAGTGCACAGAATTCGTGCATATATGCATATATTTTGTTCACATATTTCCATACTTTACAACACTTGCTGTATTTATAGACTCTATTTCAATTCCAAGAATTGTATTAACGTCTTAATCATCAATTCATTTAACCCGAGGATGAGTGGGTAAGATGTTACACGTTGTATGGATTTTATGAAAATAATAATGCAATAGATTTCATGAATGACATTTGGAATTCAAATTAGCGTTAGTTTCCAAAGTTTCGTTAAAATAATTTTGATATATAAAATGCTCCGAGATCAGTGAAATCTTCAGTTCTGAGCGGTGACGTTTGAAGGGCCGTGGTGGGGATGACTTAGCTAAATAGTGGTGTCATATAAAGGATAAATTTGTAACCATTCAATTGAGAAAAAAAGAAAAACCTTTCAAGGGGAAAACAAGGAACAAATAAAGAATGAAGTGAGAGAGGAAAGATGTGATTCATTTATTTTACTCTTATATGTTGTTCTATACGGCTATAATATGTTCATATACATATATGCTCCTTTTGTAAACATTTTCTATTAGTATCGTAACATGATGGACACTTCCGATAAGTTCCAATATAAAGAAATTAGCGCAAAGAGATCAAGAACATAGAATGATTTTAGGACTAACTTGGAATTATACTGAGACAACTTGAATTATATCTCGTACGGAGAGAGGAAAGCAGATGAGAGTTAGGGAGTTACAACTTACTTTTCTTACTCACTTTTGTTTTAGATAAACTGTGGTACAGATTATAGGCCAACAAGACAGCTTCACAAGCAATGAATTTACAGCTAGCGAGGTCACAACTGTGACACCGAGACAAGGCTTCAAATCAAATTCCGAGATGTTTATTTCTCACGTGTCAGTACTGTGGGGCTAAATATAACTGGTAAAGAGAAAATACTAAAATAAGATCACAAATGATCATTAAATACCAGCAATGAATGTGTATTTTCAATTGGAGAAGAGACGAAATCATGGCTTCGTAAAATCTGTCTAATGCAGTAAAAATTTCTTCGATATATCGAAGTGAAAAAGAAGGTGGAGAGGTGGGAAGCTACGTAACCTAATCTGAGGAATAACTTTTTTCTAGCTGATCCATAAACCAGGGGCGACCTGTGTTTCGAGCTGTTAACACGTCACATCCGGACTCAGTCACCAACAATGTCTGTTCGAATTGTGCCGAGGGCTTCCCATCACTCTAAATTAGTCAAATAATTACCACAATGAAACTCATTTAATCTTCTAAAATCCGGAAAATTCACTTCATCTCGATATTAGAGAAAAAATACTGTAGGAAACGCACAGTGACGGCAGTCCAATTGTCCGGCCAACGTTCATTGTTATGTCCACCAGCGTTAACCATTGGCTCGATGGTAAATGTATTGCCAGCCTTCATAACTCCTGTCACTTTGTTTTCTAGAAAAGATAACCAAAAAAGCTACTTGAAATAAAAGCGAATGACGTTTAGGTCAGACCCGGAAATCATTAACCATTGTTTTTAATATTTGGAAAATGTTCACTTGTTTTTGATTAAGAGAATAGAAATGAAATCTTAAACACGAAGGTAAATGAATAAAACCAAAGCATTACTTGCATAATGAGGCACATTCGGAAGAGTGTGGAAAAGCCTGAAACAGTGGTCAATAGGAGACAAACTATTTTGAAAAATATCGAGACTTCGGAATTTATTCTAAATGAAAAGTACCAAAAGAGTTCAAAAAAAAGAGGTGCCCAAAAACCTGTGAATTCCGTGTCCACAATATGATTTAACAACCGATAAGCCATGCGCATTTGCATGTTTTTGAATAACATTGCCAATTTCACGGAAACGCACACCCGGACGAACTGAAGTAATTAAGCGTTTAACAGCTTCCATTTAAACCCACAAAACGGCGTTTTTGATGAGAAAAAAAAAAGTCTAGTGCAAATTCTACATGTGCGAAAGACCACTTTTTGATAGCTATAATCACCGAGATCAATAGCATGCTGCAGGCATTCATATGTAACTTTCACCAGTTTCCTCGTATCTTCCTTAACCTTATCACCGATCAGAAATGTTTCGTTTAGATCGCCATGAAAGCCACGATGATATACTGTCACATCAACTGAAAATTATGTTCATTTAGCATTTACTACCACTCACTTCATGCTGCAAAATCAAAAAGCATTAGGAAGCGTCTGAAGATTAACTGAATAAAAAAAGGAGTAGCAATTACACTAAAAAGTACCATTGCAAATATCGCCATTTTCAAGTTTTCGCATATCTGGGATCCCATGACAAATGACTTCATTAACTGATGTACAAACACTCTTCGGAAACTGGTGATATCTAAATAACTCTGAATGGTACAATTCTAAACAGCTTAATTTTGATTTGATAATAAATCTTGAAGTATGATACCATCATGACAACTTAGTGTGCATGCATGGAAGTTACCTGAAGTAATAAATAAGTTATAATTAAACTAAAATCCTACCCGAGAGGAGAAGGGTAACAGTCTCTTTCGATACAAGCTTCATGCACAACAGCATCGATGTGATCTGTGGTAATACCAGGTTCACAAACTCGAGCCGCTTCATCCAGCACTTCCCTAGCCAGTTTACAAACTGTTCTCATGCTCTCTATTTCATTATCATCGAGAACCTGAAATGCTCAATTTCATACTTATTCCTAAACAATATGGTATCAGCTCTTCAAAATGATGTCCTTTTCTACAGTAAATTCAGTTTTTTAATAAAATATTACGATTTTGAGCCTCAAATTTTTACTCTTTGTCAAAACTTCTAAAAACTCAGAAATTGATTCGATTATTTTAAATCGATGCTTAGTCTTATAAAATGAACTACAGAAGAAAAAGCTTGCAAAACGACAAAATTGAAAAAACCTTCCACTTTTTAGTATTATTGAATTAACCTTAATCTCATTAATATTTCTTGCAAGTTGTTCGGCTTCCGAAATCCCATCTGCACGGAATGCATAATCAGGTTTTGCGATAGTATTTGGAACCCCGCGCTTCTGCCCCATTGGTGCTGGACGTAACAACCCGGTAAAGTGATAATAAGGCCATGGATTGTATTGTTCCGAAGTACATGCTAAGTGGATCAATTTATGAAATGCCCAGCTATTTTTGAAACATGCCTGGAAAAATGAACCTATTCGATTCATGTTTAGTTTCAGAAAACTTGATAAATAATAAAAAATGTAAAAAATAAGTCTACAGCTCGAACTGGACGGCAGGCTACCAAGAGACTGGTATATTGATGAATTCATGACGTGACCATACCTTTGTATAATTTCTACATCTGTTTCGGGAAGTACCTCAAAATGTCAATCATATCGAAATCCATTTTTAGGTAAAACTTTCTGTGATCCGAATACAACAGTGACGATATCCAGCATCTCCCTAATGGCTTCATCCGTAATCTATTTATCATACTCTCCTAATTCTGGCCAACACCGGAAAATACTCTAAATACCCATCCGCCTCATCATTTTTGAACATTACCTTCAGTTTAAAGTAAAATTCCTCTGGAACGTGACGAACTATTATAGATCCGAACTGAATAATAATACTAACCTGGGAGCAAAAGTAGGAATCCTTCAATTTCAGTTCGATGCAAGTAGGGCAACGCAACCTGGCTGTGTTGCTGCACTCCGATGCGCTGCACAAAATACCACTCATCGGCTGATCGCCGCCTCCCAATACGCCCACTGATGAATGCATCGCGGAAGCGCAATGACGAATCCACCAGCAAAACTCGACCAATTATTTGCTCGCTCATACCTTTGATGAAACTTATTACGTATCACGTGCTTTGTGACGATTACGGATGAGAGCAGAATACATTTCACTGATGCAATCTCTTCTAGTGGTTGGTGGAATCATTCTATCCAACAAGTTTAGTTTCCAAGAATATAACAGGTGCAAGGTGCACGGTGAGGAGTTAAATATAAAAACAGGGATTCAAGCAAACAAACCTATCGTAGTACCATTTAAAGACACTGAAGCATGATCTATATATGGCATTATTGCTAAGGATAATTTGCACAATTAAAGTATTAAGTCAGAAATCTCGAGGAATGTTGGTATCATTTGGGGAATAGAGAAAATTTAAAGCAGAAAACTTGAAACGTGTGATCTTGAAATCACTTAATAAGAAATGTGAGAAAAATATTAATGTCTAAAATCTTTAGAAAAATTTTCCTGACCTTTTGACCTTTGACTTATTAGTGAACTTTGGGTATTTTTGGGATTACAAAATGAAGCGGAATGAGTCAGTAATCCCGAGGGTTGTTGGTGCCGTCTAAGGGCAACATTTGTGCATCGTACGAATTCCGGAATGTTCTGCCCTTAAAACATAAATGAATCATTTAAGGGAAAACCTCACACTATCCATTCCGTACCATCTTTGAAAAAAGAGGAAATAATTATTGAACTAAATCCACCCATATTTGATAAATTGAAGATTTAAATATTTCTGTTTCCTACCTAGCTATATATATATTTTTTCCAAAAATTTTCATCTGGGCAATTTTCCCAAAAACCGTCATCCCGATGAAGTCCAGGAATCTCCTGCGCGTAATTCGACTAATCACTATGGTCTCTTGTTTCACTTTCGAAATTTTATCTGAAAGCCTTTGGCTTCCTTTTTTATTCTCAGTCACTTTTTTTATGTTTCAATATAACTTGAATCATAACTAGGCATCCATTGGTGGAATCAGTTGTTGTTACTGCGTATTATTTCAGTCCTTTCTAAAACTCAGGAATTATTTCATGGATTAATTTCTATCAAACATTTGCTGTTATACTCCTTATATATATATATATATATATATTCATTTCATCCCTGTATATATAAGGAAGAAATGAATGTTTGAAAGTATGACGGTTATTGCTTTCATATTTAGCATATTCCCACTTTCGTTTCCTTCACAGAACTTACACTTTTACATGTTTTTTTTTCCTTTTTTTTTTTCGATTACCAAAATCATTTTCCAAATCTGATGTCACCCTTCCTTGTAGTTAAAAATACTCAAAACTATCGGAAACGGGGAGAGTCAAAGGTATGAATTACATCATATATTAAAGTGCATATATTTTGTTCGTAAACTATTTCGAATTTAAACCTGTATCATGAAGTATTCAGACGTAAAGTGTATTATTTTCAATATCACGAATTGTCGTACCATGGAAATAGACTTAACGAATTATTTTTGTTTTTGTTTTGTTTCAAAAATCATCAAAAATACTTGGAAAATTGGGAAAAGATTAAAATTTCATACAAGCATACAAACATATATAAACAGGCATATAAATATACGGAAGCGTAGCATATGCTGTGTTACGCTATTGGTATGCGGAATTACAGAGATAATTGTGACGGAAGGGAAAACATTTGCGATCTAACAAATGTAAGCTTTTTTCTGATATGTGACAAGAAAGAAGAACTAGTTTTATGACACTGTACGAGCAGAAATATTTTTCACTTGCATGAGGACCGAAAACCAGTAAGTAGTCTCGACATGAGAAGGGGATGGGGACGAACAAAGATCAATCACCATCCATGTCCCCCTTCCCTCCCACCTTCCTCTTCACCCTTACTCTCTCCCACCTGTCGCATGAGATTTCGAAGTCGAAGTGCTTTTTCTTCTCCATGATTTTCATTCTGATGTATGATACTGTAACAAGGGGTGATCAGTTATCATCATTGCGTCCTGTTACCACTATCATCTGTAACTGTCATTATCGTTATCGTCAACATTATTATTACTATCTTACTGTTAATATCATAATTAAACCAATTTATGATTACGAGCTTCCTTCATCACTCTACTCTTGCTCTCGTGATACCCTCAGTTCACCTATTCACCATTCTCTCTTTTTCAAAAAAACGGACTCTTCTGAGATAGAGAATCTGCTACTACTATTGCAGGTTACAGTGTTGCATTTCATTTTTTTTCTTTGTTTTTAACTTGACAAATTTTTGACCTCTATTCACATCATTTGTTGATATTTCATTTCAAGTGATAATTTTTCATTGATTATTTTATAATTCCAATTTATTTTACACAATTTTCAACAAAACTAATTTCCAAAGCAAAGCATGACTGGTTCATTCGTAATGCAAAGTAGTTGCTACATTATTATGAATGTGTATCTCTTAATTTCCTTATATTCTTCTTGAATTACCTAATTTAATTTTTAACCTTAACATATCCTGCAGAAATGAGAAGGTTAAACTTGCTATGGAATCTAAATCAATCTAAAAGAATGGAAAATAAGCACTGAGGATGAGAAGGAGTTGATACCATCTACTGTCGTGCGGACCAGTGCGAATTGTTAGATACAGACAAGTTCTGCTGCAATCATTAAATAGGTATCGATGTAAAATTATCAAATTAAAGCAAGATTTATTTAAGAAATTTAAACATTCGTAAATTCAAAATTACGAGAAATATTGTAACACAGATTATTATACATCTTATGTAATTATTTTGTTACATGTTCATCTGTTATAGACGATAAAACAGATAATTGTAAATAATATTTCCTGATGCCAAATCCTCTTCCCTTCATCATTTTAAAAACGCATTTATAATCATTGATTTTAATCTTCTTGTACTTCGTTTTGCTATATCCTGGTTTCTTTTTTTTCTCCTTTGATGTACATGATTTTATAATTCAAATAGCAGATTTGCTTTACAAAACATCCATGTACACATACATTGTTCATTAATGTATTTCACATCAAAAGGCCAAAATAGATATAGTTTTTCACAACTGTACTTGATAATAATGCTTCACACTAGGATAAGCCATATTGCATCATTACAATTGTGAAGTTGTTGCCATTTTTATATTTGTCAACCATATTGAACGGATTGGTCTGATAGAGTGGACAACCGTGTGCAAACAAATTGTAAATATAGTGCTTCCGCAAAAAGAAAAAAAAATTAGTAGTGATAACAAAATTCAATGTCAAATAATTTCGGCGACGAACAATCCATCGGGAAAAAAAAAATTAGTTCTGGATAGTTGATTCATCTCCGAGATAAAGTCGAATTTTTCTTAGTATTTGCTACCTTGACGAAATGATTATTGATCAAATCAGTTACAAGAGAAAGTTTTTTTTTTTTTTTAGATAACCTTTATACATCATGTTTTGAATAAGCAATTATTTTAGCGCAATGATTTTTTTTAAATTATTTTTTTATCATTTTCGAAAGTTAACAATTAAAACAAAATTTGCGATTTCCGTAATATTATTGTTTTGAATATTGCATTAGACATTGAAATGGTGGTAAGATAATTTCAAAATTACTAGATTGAAAATAACAACAATGGAATAGCAATCGTACCTGTTCAATGTAAGTTCGTTGTTATGTCTATAAATGGAAAAGGTAACGAATAGCAGAAAAATCACCGAAATTTAGTCATGATGATTAGCTCGATGCTGTTAAACTTCAAAAAAAGGTATCATCCAGTGCTGTACCTGTTTTCTTTGATTTATTTTCAAGTTTGTCAAACTTCCAATTTTCAATTTTAGTCATCATTTTCTCGTTAATTAGACTATCTTATTTATAGCAAACAATTTTCGCGATTTTTTAGATTATGAAAATGGAAATTTTTTTTTCTTATTTATTCATTGTCCGTTTTTCTGCCTTAAAAATTAATATTATCTGATTTTGTTAGGAGTGCTCATTTTAATTGCAATAAACATTTCCTGTATTCTCCAAAAATATTCATTCTTTAGCTGTGTATCGCTATACTCAATTAATTTAAGAGCAAATATTAAATAAACATCAGCAAGAAAAGTAACAATGAATTAAGCATAGAAAAGGAAAAGAAATAGGAGGGTGGAAAAGAGTTAATATGAATTCTGAAGAAAATATTCCATGAAGGTCAAGAATAACGGAATTGAGTCACTTTAGACACATTGACCTTCAATTTTTTCATGATACCTTTCTCCTTTCCATTATCTGTTTGTATCGTCATCCTAATAATATTTTTTAGTACGAAATTTCTATCAACAATAACATTGCTATATGAAAATGCTTCTTTGTATAGCAAAATCTTTTAATCGACAATTTATTCCTTCTTCAAATCTTAATAAACTTGCCGGAAGAAAACAGTTATTTTAATAAAAAAGTGATTTTATTTATAAAAGTGATTAGTGAACGGCTAATCACTAAAGTAATAATTAGTCTTTTAACGAATTTCCTTTGCTTTAAAAAACTGATATGAGTTTCATATATTAAATCAAATTAATTTAAAAAAATAAAAAAATCCAGGAAATCTCTATATTAACTAACCTATGGCATATAAATATAAAATTAAATCTTGAAAATAATCATAAAATCAATAAAGAAATTAATTGTTTATTTGCTTTTTCTATAACCACTCTTAAGGTAAAATGAATAAAATTATGAACCGTACGGAAACAATTGTTCTTCAGCTGCAATTTTCAATTAAAGTAAAGTGGAAATTTGTTTGGCAAAAGAAGGTCAAATATTAGCAGTCATTTTTATTGGAACTTCTCCTCTTCCCATTCGTCGTTCATTCTCAATAAATTTATCTCAATATAGAGTTTTTGGTATTTCAATAAAAACATTTATTTTTATGAACTTATTGTAGTAGAACTCCACCTACCAATAAAAGAAAGGAATGTCTTCTGCTGTGCAAACCATTTTTTTACCTTACTCCTTGTGATTAATATCAAAAAAAATTAAGTGATGGCTGATTTTCTGTATGCTTTTCCGCCCTTCCCTTCCAACTTCATGCTCATTTATGGGTATTTTTCGGTATGAATAAATATTTTTATTTATACCTGTCATCGCTTTCTTTCACTAGCTGTGCATAAACATTTATTATTATTATTATTATTATTATTATTATTATTATTATTATTATTATTATTATTATTATTATTATTATTATTATTATTATTATTATTATTATTTTTGCAATGTTTGTCTAGAGATAACGCATGTGAATACGATTTTAAAGTTATTTAATTTGGAAAATCATTGTAAATTTCTTGCAGGAGCAAAAAACGAAAATTAAACTTCGTTCACTTTACCTATGGGATCACTATACCGGTCAGAGCAGATGCGATTCTGCCAAATGATTGTCCAGAAAGATGCTGCATTTTCCTGTGTTGCTGAACTTGGCAAACATCCTTATGTTCAATTTAAAGATGTATTCTTTTTTGAAAGATAAAATTTGAAAGTCCAAATTAATATTTACTGAAAAAATTGTTTTTATGAAAACTTGCTTAGCAAACCAAAAGTGATAATTTAAATATAAATTGAATTTGGTCACCATGGTCATCTACAAAAGTACTTGAATCAACTAGTTTTTTTATTTGAGCCATCCCTCTATTTGAGTTTCGATACGATTTACATCCTTTTAAAGTGCAAGAAAAAGAATTCAACTTGACCGGACTATCAGCTTTGTTTCAATAAACTGTAATAATAAAAAAAGTAAGGAAAAAAAAAAAACTTCCAATCTTGTAAAATTAATTTGTTCAATACACAGTTTGAAAGAAAGATGCTGTTAGTTCTCAAAAAAAAAAAAAATATATGGGACAATTTTTAGTTGAATGCTAATGTCAATCCGTTCCAAAAAATGTATCTTCGTGACATTCAACGGTTTGAAGAACTGGAAAGGAAGCTAAGTAAGATTATATTCACCTTTCAAAATGATTATTTAAACTACATAAATTTAGGATTTGCAGTAATGAATAAAGTTTTCGATTTGATAACATATTTTTAGGATTCCTTGATGCCCAAATACGTAAAGACGATATTGAAGTTAATGATGATGTTGGCGGAGATGACACATATGAAGTACTGGCACCACATGAACTCAATCAACTTGAGGTTAGCTAAATTTGATTTTTATTTCAAATAATATTTCTAGTTTTGTATTTCGTTCAAAAGAAAAACTTAGAAATACCTAGTTACCGCTATTATTATAAATCTTCGAAGTTTTCTTGAGCTGGATAAGAGAGTAACAGGAGTACAGGGAGCAAACAGTTTTCTGTCTTTGAAGCATTCTGTACATTTATGAGATCCTTAAAGATCTCTGGTAGGACAATAAAACATTCAATCAATGGAGGAATGGAATATATTTCAAATTGCAATTTACAGGGCACACTGATTGATTTAGAACGTGATGTAATCAATATGAACGAAAATAATATAATCTTGAAACGGAATTATTTTGAGCTAAAAGAATGGGAAGCAATTCTAGAGAAAACGGATCACTTTTTCGAAGAAGTTTGCTTTACCATTATGTTCCATCCAAATAATATAATTTTTCACCAATTTTCATTTGAATAGTTTATTAACAGAAAATTAATAAATTCACTTGAGAAATTTGGGATTTACAATTATGGAGTGTCATGAAGTGCAGATATTACTAAACTACTATAGTGGTAATATTGTTTTAAAATTAATTGAAGTTTTTAGGGCATTAGTGATGTTGCAATGCACGAAATTGAAGCAATGCAAGAAGATCCTGCGCTTGTACTCAGAAGTGGAAAAGAGCCTATAGGGTAATTTTCCATTTTCCTACACAGCCTATATATTAGCAAACTCAGTACTTTTGAAGTTGAAGTTAAAATACCAAAATTAAATATATTATTTTGATGTCATTACTGCCACACATTTTTTTGTACTTTTATTTGAAAAAAAAAAATCTTACGAATATTGCTATTTAACAGCTGTTACAGTTCGATGGATTTGTTTAAACTAATGCTATTAATTTACATAGGTTTTCCTAATTTCAATTCTAGGTTTTTGGCAGGTGTCGTCAATCGTGATCGTGTGAATGCCTTCGAGAAAGTTTTATGGCGAGCTTGTCATAAAACAGCATTTATACGTACTACCGATATTGAGGAGGAATTAGAAAATCCAGATAGTGTATGTTTTTGAACATTTGTTGTTTCAGAGATCAAATTTAGCATTTTTTTTCTCACGTTCTAATTGGATTCATATCTAAAAGAAAACCTTTAAAATAATGAATCAGTCTTGTATTCATTTAATTTTTTTTCTTGTTTTCCACTTTTTTTTTCTTTTTTTGTTTGCTATATTTTATTTTTGTTTCAATTAAATTCAATTTTTCATCATTTAATCAAGTTTCCCAGCTATTGGTAAAAACAAATTTAAATTTCAGGGTGAAATCTGCTCGAAGTCAGTCTTTTTGATTTTTTATAAAGGCGACCGTTTACGGATTATTATCGAGAAAGTTTGTGAAGGATTCAAGGCTAAACTCTACAACAATTGTCCAAAGAACAGCAAGGTTTGACTGCTTTGAGTATAAGTTTGATAATAAAGTACGAAGATTTATATAACTTATTCTCGATGTTTAAGGATCGTCATGCAGCAGCACGTGATGTAAAAGCACGCATATCGGATATGCGTACGGTGCTGGGCCAAACTCAAGAACATCGGTATAAGGTGCTTCAGGCTGCTTCCAATTCTGTCAGGCAGTGGCAAAAAGAGGTTGTTTAAAGTTTCTAGATTCAAATAAAGAATTGGTACTTTTACATGAGGTTTTCATATTAAGAATTAATATCCAAACCATTTAATTAGTGATCATTTCTAGGTTCGCATGCAAAAATCGGTTTATTATACGTTGAACCTTTTTACCTTTGACGCTATTGGTAAATTTTTCGTTGCTGAATGTTGGGTACCATACGTTGATCTCGAAAATGTCCGCTTAGCACTTGAAGAAGGAGTGGTAAGAGGTTTTAAATATTGATGAGTTTTCAGATCTTAGAAGTTTAGGGAAATTGGCTGGGCTGGCGTTTGGAAGCTTGTCTATAGAAGTTGTTTGTGTTGAAAATGAGTTTATTGACTAATTTAAAGGTTACATGATTCCACAGATATCACGTAGTTTGTGAATGATATGGAAAACTTCTAAAACAGTTATATAAATAAAAGTAATTCAAGTACTAAGCTATGATTGCAGAGGAAAAGTGGTAGCAGTGTGAGACCTGTTCTAAATCTTTTGGAGACTACCGAAGAGCCACCTACATACAATCGAGTTAACAAATTCACAAGAGTTTTCCAGGCGATCGTTGATTCTTATGGTACTGCCTCTTATTTGGAAATCAACCCAGGTATGATTCATATTTCAATGAATCAAAATTTACAAAGTTTTGAAATTTTTTGACAATTTTTAGCCATTTGCACAAATTTAACTCCAATTTCAGCTCCTTATACTATCATAACGTTCCCATTTATTTTTTCCTGCATGTTTGGTGATCTTGGACATGGTATAATAATGCTCCTGGTTGGTTTGTGGATGGTACTTCGGGAGAAGAACCTTGCAGCACGTAATATTAAGGATGAGGTAATATTATGGTCAAAAAAAAAAACGTTAGGATGAGAGAGAGAGAGAGAGAGATTAGTTATCAAGTTATGATTAGCTCACGATTACTTAAAAAAAAAAAAAAAATTATGGTTGTAAGATGTTCATATTCAAATAAAATTTACAGATCTTCAACATGTTTTACGGCGGTCGTTACATTATTTTACTTATGGGCATTTTTTCGATTTATGCAGGTTTTCTCTACAATGATCTGTTTGCTAAATCATTTAATCTATTCGGTTCAAAATGGCGTAATCCATTCCCGTGAGCTTTAATTTTTACCTTAATTTAACTTGAATTAAATTGTTAGAACTGGAAATTTCACAGCAACGGAATGCTTCTGCTTATTTTCTTTTATAACATGTCAAGCTTTGATTGATTGGTACCTGAAGATGGAAACACTGGTTATAGCCTGCAGTTGAGGCATTCCCTACAAAAAAAAAAAAAAAAAAAAAATTTAAGCTAATGAATCATTTCATACAACTTCTTCAGCGCACTTTTTGTAGTAATGCGGAGATTGAATCTTGGGATAGTCAATCGATCCTCATGCATAAAGAAATAATGATCGATTTGCCGCCATCACGATCCTATATGCATGATAGTGGGCCTTATTGGTTTGGTGTAGATCCTGTATGGAATTTAGCAGAGAATCGACTAAACTTTTCAAACTCCTTAAAAATGAAACTATCAGTCATACTCGGAATTGCTCAGATGACATTTGGTGTATTCTTATCACTGTTAAATTATATGTACGTTACCAGGAGGATTTGTCCCGATTTTATTTAACAATTTTATTGGTAATGATAATAATTTGTAAAATATGATCAATTGCTCAACAATACGTTCAGGATTGTTTGATCATTCATCACTGTGTATTGATAACAAGCCATGAGGTTGTGTTATCCTAGTTTAAATCCATTTATTTGATTTAGATCCTTAATGACTAAAACATTTCAATTTAGCCATCTATATGTTTGCTAAGATCTATCTGATCTAAATCTGACATATTTGGCCGATTTCAGATACTTCAAATCAAAAATTGAAATATGCACAGTGTTTATCCCACAAATTTTGTTCATGCTCTGTATATTTATCTACTTGTGTGTCCAAATCATCATCAAATGGCTATTCTTCTGGGTTCAAGAGGAATACATCTTTGGGTTGCTTTATCCAGGGTCAAACTGCGCTCCTTCATTGTTGGTAATTCATAGTTTTAGAATTACAATTTTTGAAAATTAAATTTTTATAAGAATTGCACGAGGTATTTTAGATTGGTCTCATCAACATGTTTATGTTCAAATATCGTCGGCTTGGCTTTCTAAATGAATCAAAAATTGTTTCTCAAAATGATGGTCACGTTACATATGAGAACTGGCCAGATTGTTACCTTAGTCAATGGTATCCTGGACAGGCAAGCATCTTTTTGACAATGTTGTAAAGTTAACTTTTCAAGTTTTTCCCAGATTTACGAAGTTTTTTTTTTCTTTAAATCGAAGAAAGTTTCAGTCAACCCTCGAAGCAATTCTGGTTATAATAGCTGTAATATGCGTACCAGTAATGTTATTTGGCAAACCGATTCATTTTCTACTACATCGCAAGAAGAGAAATGTCATTAGCGATAATGCTGTAAGCTCAAAAAATTACTGGAAATCCAAAAATGGTCTTAAAAGTTAAAATTGTCAAACATCATCAAATTATGACTTCCTTGCCTTCCCTTAATCATTTTCAAATAAGCTGATAGTTGTCATGATTCATTTAATGTCAGCATAATCACCTTGAGACTTATAATATACTTCTTTGACCTTCTTCCAAAATTTATAGCACAAATTTCACAACAAATTCTTCATTCATTAGGTAATATGGATGAATCAGGAAAGCGAAAAGGCGGAAATAACTTTGAACGAAAATGGAAGCGGCTTAAATAAAAAAGATTGGGAAGAAACTATATCTGATAATGAATGCGAGGAAGAGGTAAGTTCATTGATTCCTTCTTTGATTCAAAACCAAATTCAGCGAAAAAAGCTTTGAAAATGCAAAAGGACGTGAATGAATAGCTGCATTTTCATATAGCAAATTTTATTTTGAGTCATTTGGGGACGTTATGGTTCATCAAGCAATCCACACAATTGAGTATGTCCTTGGTTGTGTGTCTCATACAGCATCATACCTTAGACTATGGGCTCTATCACTAGCACATGCCCGTAAGTTACTCCTAATCATTTTGTTTTTAAAATTCTTCTTGCTATAAAGCTTTACATCTATCGATGGACAATAGTTGTTTCTAATATTTCTACTAAAATTCTTGAATTTAAGAACGACGTTGGCTTCTTAACCAGTCATACTCCTAATGAAAACTATGCTTAGTAATGTTTGCCAGAATTCCTAAAATGCAAATAATATTTATAAATGAATTAATAGTTAATTTTTTATCCTTCAAGATCTTAAAGCTTCCAGAAGTTTTAGTTTATTCTTGTTAGCATAGTTTCATTAACATTAAATAATGACGAAATGCCCCAATAATTCTGCTTTGGTACTGGCTTCACTTATTTACTTGAATTAGAAAAATATGCGAATATTACAGAATTATCGGAAGTATTATGGGAAATGGTACTTGTTCAAGCATTTAGCATTTCTGGCATTGCTGGCTATATCGCTGCTTATTTGGTATTTTTTGCATTCGGTGTTCTAACCGTCTCAATTTTGGTACTCATGGAAGGACTTTCCGCTTTCTTACACGCACTCCGATTGCACTGGTCACTTCTTATGAATTTATCTAGATTTTAAAAATTGAAAGACTCCGTAGATAGGTGAACAATTACATCAGATAGCAGAAATTGACTGTACTTGAGAAATTTTGATTTGTAAAGAACTCCCAACTTGATTAAAATATTTGAAACACACAAAAAGTCATTGCAGGGTTGAGTTCCAGTCCAAATTTTATCTCGGACTCGGCTACCCTTTCCTGCCTTTCTACTTCAAGGACGTGCTACTGAAAGCAAATGTTGTTGAAAAGTAAAATTTTACTGGATGAGAAACTATCAACTCATCGCTACTAGCAACAAATAGTCTCGCTTCTTATATTATGTAACTGATTTTAAAAACGATAACACTTATTATGAACATCACCACATAAATTACGGACTTCTCCGTACAGCTAAATAAATACTGGTGTGCTTCTATCTTCCCACCAAATTTCAGATTTTTTTGAATTCCACCTAGCAATAAGTTATTGCTACAGATAACAATCTTATTGATTTGCACATGCCACTATGAAGTCAGGTATACAGAAGCACTAAAACTTCCCTAAATAATCTGTAACCTTAAATTTTCATATTATCACCCACTTCTTTACAACCATCTCGGTCCTGGAATTAAAACCGCATGTTGCATCACGAAAAACGTGCCGTAGATCGTACCAGACCGCTGGGATTATACTATTCGATCAACTCTTCTTCGTAGAAATGGTGACTAGAGATGAGTGTGATATTATAAAGTGCATCAAAGAAGTTCAGAGAACGCTACGCATTGATCGGCTAATGAGATTACTATTAGACAAAAACACCAGTTTGATTTAGATGTAGTAACATTCAGAATGGTTACGAAATTAAGGTGAAACTCATTTGGTAGTGTTTTGTTTGGCCGCTAATTGTAATTCTCCCTATGGCCCTCAAATTTTATTTACTGCGCTATCATCCACGCTTTCACAACGGAAATCACCTATCTCATCACTAAACTAAGCTTAACTAATTTGCGCCTTTCTCCTTCTTACTTGTCATTGGATTAGTCATCTCCATTTGGAACTTGGCATGTATGCTCGTCATCAATTCTAATTTATATTCCTGGAGAAAAACGAAAACATTTAAAAGGGGTTCACATGTATAAAAGACAGTGGAGAGTGACGTATTATAAGCACCGAGAGTCGAACTTTGAGCATAATAAATTACGAACATATAAGGAAAACATGTGGAATAAAAAAACATTAATTTCTAGGTAACAAAACAAAGCAGGTGAAGAAACAATATATAATAATGCAAACAACAATAAGGAAGGCGCTGATGGACAATATAATCACTTCACATGACCGTTATAGCTCAACATTCAACAGTAAGATTCCAAAATAACTTTGAAACCATAATGAAAAATCCTTGCACAGTTAATCAAAAGTCCCAGAACTCTACCTGTAACCGGCTAAAGATCCTAGAAATCCAATTTGATTCAAGTCTGAATATCATGTACCACTGATTCCAGAAAGACCACGAACATTTTCATGAAAAAGCCATGTGATAAAATTCCCAGACATAAAAAATGACTAAACTTACAAAGTGGTAAATATTAAGTGGAAACTGGAAGGAAATGCAAGTAATTAGCTTCTAAAACAATAAAAAGAAAAAAGCAACTCATTATTTAGTGACAAATTAACTTTGCAAAGTTTAAAATAACAGGTTTAAAAAATGCAAAAAGAAAACAAAGTATATGACATAAAACCAGATTTCGAATTTATATTTAGTCTTTTAACTACTTACTCTTTTCCCTCCAGTCAATCCTGGCAAAACAATTTTTTCTCAGAGCTTCCTAGATGAGACAACCAGACAAAAGAAAAAAATGAAAACTTTGTTTTTCGTAAATAGACCTGTATTGACAAATTTTATGGACATAAATTAGATCCACGGAAATTATTGGGGACAAAGGTGATAACGATATTGCTGTGATATGTGCAAAAAGACACCCGAATAATACAAATTAATAATTGTAGCAATATGGTCATTACAATAAATAAGTAAATTATATATATATATACTTTACCTTGTTGTAATCAATTTATTGATATCTTTATGACAATGATTTTGCTTCTAAAACTACTAAGTAACAGAAAGATATTCACAAGATATGTAAGAACAATTTGCATCCCAGGTTAATGCATCATGCACTAAAAGTACAACAGAAGGTGATAACCTTAAGTCAGCATTATAATCAATTAACTAATTACTGGTTAACACTCATCAAATAGCGTCATGATTCCCTACCACCAATAACATCGATTATCAATCAAACAAATATTCATAGTTCATTACAAAACTGTGGAAGCATCTAAAATTTGAAGGAGTGACCAATTAATAGCTTTTCAGGATAATAGAACAAATAATATAAAGAAAGAATATGTTGAGTTTTGGATTGGCGAGCAGTAAAATTGTGAAATTAGCGAAAACAAATGGAGAGCAGTTTTTATACACCTGCAGCAAATTGAGCGAGACCTAAATAATGGCCTTAATTCTGACATCAAAACAGTTAATTTAAATTCTAATCTCCAAACACCCATAATTCCAAATTATTTTAATTTCACAAAAAGCAATAAAAATGTATACTTTTTTGTAGAAAACTATGCGACCGCTATCCTATCAATAATGAACATCAAAAAATCCACGACATAATTTTAGGAGTAGCTATTAAAAGTGGAAAAATAAAGAGAATTTGGAGGAATAAATGGTAATCTACTTCATTTATCTCAAATCTTTAGAGTGCTAACAATTACAAAACACAAGATGGAATAAAGAGAGAGGAGTGATAACAAAGAAACTGAAAGAAAGCTCTATGTTTCACAATTACTTTAACGGATTAACTTTAAGTTATACACAAACAAAATGATGCAAATAATAAACCTTCAACAAACAAACTTTAAGTAAAACATTGCAAAACTTACTAGATATAGCGGTGTTTCAATCCATATAAGTCAAAATTACTTCTCCATTACCACTACACTGATTTCACCTTTGCTGTTGCTTTAGCTCTTTGACTGCACGTATGTAAGCAATGAGTGAACTTAATGGTTTTGCCATTTGGATAAACGGGTGTCGCAACAATTCCTCAGCATCAGCTCGTTCTTCCTGTTTTACACATAGGCAACGATCCAGGAAATCGTTAAATTCTGGAGACAAAGAACTCTTCTTCTTGACTTCGGGTTTTCCGTTTTGAGCTATCAAATATATTGCCTGAAACAATGGAAAATAGAGAGAAAAGAAGAACACAATAACATTAATCTCTTCAGTTTTAATTTTAGTGATGACGAAAACCGTCGGGTCTGAATTACCACTATGTCGAACTCTGGTGCAGAATCACTTAACCAAATGTCCGCTGAAATGAGATGTATATTGTATGGACATTTGAAAATGTTGCATGCCTTCACATATATAAACATTACAACATAACTCTGCATAAAAGTAAACAAACTTTGATGGGAGTTTCATAAAGATATGGTGGTTCACCATCGAGCATTTCCAAAGCCATTATTCCAAGTGACCAGATATCTACTTTGTAGTTGTACTTTACCTTATTCACGATTTCAGGAGCCATCCAATATGGTGTCCCTACCATTGTAGCCCTTAATTTTTGAAAATTATTTATACTTGCCAGCAACAATGACTCTGGTAACTTTTACAACAACCTTTTCGATCCAGGCTGAATCTGAGCACAGAAGCCGAAATCCGTCAATTTTACGGCACCTTGCATTCCTAGCAAAACATTGTCTGATTTTATATCTCGGTGTATGATACTGTGACTGAAAAGATAAAATATAAACAAACTCAAAAGCGTGAAAATCAAGTAAAATAAATGAAATAATTGCAAAGCGTAAGCAACGCAGTGGCAAATTCACGATTTTATATCTTAGATTCTGCTCATTCCACCACTCTGGTTATTTCCACTTTCACTTACTAAAAGCAAAGTAATAAAAACTGTAAAACTGCAACTACAGATATTCATTACATGAAAACAAATATTTGCCTGTGTAAAAATTGAAGAGCATTTAAACATTCTTTCAAAATTGCAGCAATTTGTCCTTCATCCAATTCAGTTTTCACAACAACATCTGTTAAATTACCGCCTTCCAAATAATCCATGACAACCCACAAATCGTCCGCATCCACCAAAAAACTATCAATATAGTTGACAAGATTCTGAAAACAAACTGAGTTATTCATCGTGCGCCAAAAAAGCAAATTATATTGCGACTCTCTTATAAGTGAAGGAACACATGGAATCCCACAGAATTACTTTGTCAAAATAAGAAACTCACCTCATGTTTGTATTTCTGCATAACTTTGATTTCCGTGAGCAACAACTCCTTCTTTGGCTGACTTTTAAATGCCATACGCTTTACGGCAACTACTTCACCCGTAATCTTATCGCGTGCAGTATAAACATGGCCCGATGCACTAAAGATTTAGGAGCAATGTACGGTTTTCAGTAAAACAAATCAAAGAAACAACAATGAAAAAATAACATTGTAAAACAGGTCTTTACTTTAACATCACTTAAGATTTGGAGAAAATTACTGATTCAAATCTAAATTTTCGCAAATCTTTAGACATAGTGTCCTTACTAGGCAAGTGGATGAACTAATCTTTTTAACATAGTGTCTCGCCTATTTTTGAAAAAGCTAAAAATTACCCAATGCCAATCTTTTGAAGCAAGTCGTATCGGTCTGTTGGATTACCCTCATTAACTATTTGTTTCAATTCTTCCAATATCTGAAATGAAAATCTTAAAGAGTTGGATAAATACCAAAGAACTCATCAATACCTACAAGGTTTCTTGGCCATCAAATATTTTGGTTCAATCATTGATCTGAACAAAGGAAGAAATGCATGAATGTTACGCTTACTTCCTGATCACTAGGTTTCTGTCGCTGAGATTTATACGCGGCTTCTTCCGTTCCTTTATCATTTGTTTGCGCCCTTTTCCTTACTTGTACCTAAAAAACTGGATGTACACTTCACTATGCGCAAACATACAAAATTAATCTGAAACATGAAATTCCAAAAACTCAGAGATTCACCACATGCAGCACTTGGAAGACATAGTAAGGACAAATTTAAGACATAGTATGGACAAAAAAAAAAGTAACATACGTTGTCACAAATTCCATTGGTTGCTTCTTTATTGCTGACATCAACTCTAGTGTTAGTATTTGCCGTTTTGCCTTCAGATGTGATTTTTTCTGAACACTGTATTTTTGCCACCAACAACTCATTTCCTATGTCCAGTTCAACAGCCACGTTCGAATCAGCATCATCAGAAACCTTGGAAGATGACTCGGACCCCAGACTATCCCGGCCATCTTGCTGTGTTACCAACTGCTCACTGATTGAACACGACGGTTTTAAGTGCTAAAAGCAAACTAAAACTAATTGAAAGTTCGTAGTTTCCAAAAATAAAGTTTTGGTAATAGAAATTAAAGTTTTCGTAGTAGAAATTTTGCGAAGTTCAATTGTCTGGTGTATTCAAAAGTAGCTCAAATGAGGACTACTTTATAGACGAAAAATAAACTAATAAAGAATAAAGAAAACGATTGAATGTGAATTTAACAAATATTTGACCTAAATTTTCAGGACGAATCTTACTATTTTCGACCTTTTTTTTTCGAATTTAGGAAAAAGTTTAAAACAATTAATACATGTCTTTAACTGATACAAACTGCTAATCTTACCGCTAACTCATTTCCAATGAAATCGATGTAAGCAGAAAATGGTGACATGACGCCAAAATTAATTCGAGGCATAAATGGATTGCACATTTCCTAATTTTTTGTGAAAAAATATGATACTGATGTAGATAACCTATCACTGAGAGAAGCAGAAATCTCTTGACTGATGAGAAGAAACAAATTTAATGCCAACGGCATGGAGATGTTTTGCGGTAACGACTAGTTAGTTAAAATAAATATGTGCAAAACGACAAATAATTTGTCCTACGGTTTCGGAATATCATGAAAATCAAAAATAAGAATTTTCAGAACAGAACAGCTCTTGCAATAGCTGAATATCGTGGTTAAACGCCACAGACCAGCGTGATAAACAATATACTAAATAAATAAGTAGGCTTTATTATCTGAACGGTGATACGTCACGGGCATAAACAACACTAGTTCTGTAGAGGATATATGAACGGGCAAGGATTCTAAACACAAGCATGCGATCTTTTTCTTGCAAAATTAAATGTAATATATTATTGCCCTTAAAATAACATTAGTACAGAAAAAAGAAAAATATACACAATCACTGAAATGTTAGTGATACTATTATCGCATCTTTATGGGTGACACTAAAAAAAATTTCCCCTTCTCTTCTCTGTTCCTTCACTAGCCTTTCCTAACCGCGTAGATCAATTCCTTTTTATTCTCTTTTCCTTATCTTTGCTTGTATATATAGAATTTTAAACGACACGAAATCGGTGTCACGCATTCTTGTCCAAAATGGAAAAATCAGGTTCTCGCACCATCATTCCCTCTGTTGTCTACAGTAAGATTTTTGAGAAAATGAATGAATAAGCTAATTTAAACATTATTATCTTCCGAAATGCACGGCATCAAATGCAATGCTACAAATTGTGTTTCACACTCTAAAAAAAAATTTTCTTCTTCGAAGAGATGATCCTCTCCCTCTCCTACTTTTTTAACGGATCCAAACTATCTGACAACGAAAGGTGTCAAAAAAAAAAAAAAAAAAAATTATCTACCATAATGACAATGTGCTACAATTATCAATTAGATGAAATCTCACTTTTTCTGCTTATCAGAAGTTATCTGCCAAAAGCTCAATTATTTTATCAATAAAATACGTTGCAAATATTCAACTTAACTGTACTTCGTATAGTAAATTCACTTTCTTTTCAGACGGTGATGGAGGCATCGGTAAAGTTACTTAATAAAGAAAATAAGAGACCGTGACTTTCCCTCAAGTATTTTATTATTTTTGCATTTTCCTACATGAATAGCTTGAGTGAGATTTGTGGAAGACCAAGAACGATCTCAAACTGAATTGAGATATAATTCCTTGCTTTCTGGAAAATAACTTTTAAATATTTGCTACTTACTTTTTCCTTAATAAGAAATCTAAATAATAATTTTTGCATATTTTGTCTCGATAACACAGCGATACACCAAGAATAATTACAAACCGCTGGTTTCGGTGGTAGTGGAGGTGGTATTTTCCGAGCACTACTTTTTACTGCCGGTTTGGTAAATACTTCGTTCGAGGAAATTTCAACAGTTCCTTCACTGATTATTGTAGCACTGCAAATTGATGAAAGCTTGAGCTAGGAATCACTCAGAACCAACCCAAAAAAACGAAAATAAAAAAAAAAAAACCAGCGATGCTTGGAATTTTTGAATACATACAAATGAATTATTTCCAAAATCCCTCTAATAAGGTGTCACTCACCTATTAGAACTTCGTAATGGTGGTAATTGTGGTGCACCAGGATGCTGTGAATGTCGAGGTGGTATTATTGGAGGTGCCACAGCCCGATATCCACTAGCCGCAATGGATGAAATTATCGTCGAGATCTCTGTTGAACTATTATTTTCCATATTTTGAGACTCTTTCCCTATAAACGGATGTATTTTCCTTCATAAACGAAACAATGTTTTTGAAAATATAAACTCTTCTGAAAGAATCGATGACATACCAAGTCTGAAAACGCTACTCGAAAACTTCAATAAAATTCTGAACTGTATTGTAAAGTATTACCACTGCTCATATCATCCGTTTTTGCAATTGGCTGGGTAGTTGCTATAGGCTCTTCATCATTTTCATCATCAAACGGTAACTGAGAATTAGTAATCATAAACTTTTGCTTATCAGCTTCCTGTGCCATAATAGTTTTTGCATAAAATTTCAACGCAGAAACAACTGCTGAAGGGTTCTTCTTCTGGTCGGCTTCACTGTAAGCGAATGACAAAAATAACGATAAATTCATTTCACTTGACATTTGTAAACAAATGAAATATATTTCAATCTATTTATATATAATTAAATAAATAATTCGAAATATTTTACGAAAATCCAACACCGACCTAATATCACGAAGCAATGTGTCCATCCAAGGTTGCGGCAAGCCCGTAAATTTCTTACCATCGTAGCCAACATGTATTCGGTGAACGGTATTATAGGGCGAACTGATTTCTCCTGGACCAGAATAATATGATGATGAGGAAGAACTAACCTCATTATTTGAATTAAAAAAACGACCTAGTATACTTCTTAGTCTGACCTGAAATAATTAAACACGTTAGAACCTCTGCAGTCCAGCAATAACCACTCCCTCATTACGATAGTTGCGCGATTACGAAATTACATAATTCTTTCAAAAATTTGCATCTACTAGCTAACTAGTGCCATTACCACGCTGCTTCAAATGCAAATTAGATACCGAATAAAACAACTCAAAATATATTAAAATATGAAGGCGAACAGGACTTACCTTTGATTTATCCTTCTCACGCGGTACAGACATAATCGTGAGTATATTCCACGATACACCCAAACTATGCCTAAAACAAATAAAACTGAAGTCACCAAAAGGGAATGCTTCCGACAGTTACCTTTACATTAAAAGAATCTTGCTTCAAACATAGTTTTAAAAAACATACACTGGTTAAATAAAGAAAACAGCAGTGAGTTACAGATGATACGTAATTTCTATTTAATGTGACCGTCCTCACAATCCTTCCAATTAAAACGAACATTTAGAATGGAAATAAATGAGTGCAGCATAACGATGTAAATAATGGTGGTATTTTACAAAGACAAAAAAGAAAGTTATTTAGAAGACCAAAACTAGAATCCGCCCAACCTCAACTCCCACCATTCAAATAAACACCCAAACTGAGCCAGAACTGAATCAAAAAAAACCAAAACTTCAGTATCCACCAGAAAATAAGAAGTCCAAAATGTCACAACCATAGGCAAGAGTCATGGTGCTCTATGCAATATATATGGATCATCACATTTTTCCTAACCTTCTCGTTAGTTGTAATAAATCATCAGAAAACGGAGGTAGCAGAGTCATCATATCGTTTTCCACATGTTTTTTATGAAAAATGAGAAATTAACTTTGGGAATCGCTAGAGTCATCGAATGCTAACTCGTACTCTGATAATTCTGTCTCATGCAGGGATCTACCGGTCTAGCCACCAAGGAAGTCCAAGATTAAGTCATGAATTTACATATGAATTGTAACCTTTCCGTTTAAATCATGTGAAAAAATTTAAGATTATTCCTTAAGACTTCAGTTTCTATCTCTTTAAAAGTATATAAATGAAACTGATATTTTAACGTCCGTTTTTTCTTTCTCTAAAATTTCCTCTGAGAAATCGATTAAAGAAATCGATTCTAACAGTATCGTTGTGAAGTAGAACAGTATTACTTTTCTAAAATTTTTGGTTCATTATTCGATGTTATAAGATTTATGGATAACTGAACTGAACATTCTAAAAACCAGTGTCACACTTGAAACCTTCATTTTGCTGGGAAAGTGTTTTGTACTGTTATTTGATAACAAAGGTTTTGTTAGAGATTTTTGTACAGAATGTATCTGTTAAGCACACTATACATTTGTCCTTCGTACTAGTTTGTCACTTTCACTCTCCATCCACTTTTTTATTAACAAAAGTTCTCATCATTCAATATTACATACATAATAATGACAAGTAATCTTTTTTACCTTTACATTTATGTCACCTTTAAAAACGAAGCAAATAGGAAAATTGGCATGGTCCATTAAAAGTTTTCGTATCAATAGTGAACTGTGAATTCGTTATTTTTATATGTGTTATATGTGAAATGAAGCTCACGTGAATTACAAATTCAATTTACTCACTGGCAGTGAAATCGATGCATAAGTGTGAAACCCAGCCACTTGATTACTGAGACGATAATTTACACTTTCTAGTGATTTACCCATCCAAGGTGTTTGCTCTGTTGTTAAGTGATTGACGAGCAAGAAGACGAATTTAATTATTAATAAATTTTTTTTGAATTTCCTGATAATTTTTCGCGAACTCAATACGGAAACAAAGAAAGAAATGTTGTTAATGAGACCGAAAAGAGAACGACGGAGGGAGAGAGAGAGACTGCCATAGGTTTTGGGTACAAGGTACAATAAAACTCATGAGCAGAATGTTCTGGAATTCCGGGATTCTTTATCTTTTTACCCCTTTTTCATTTCTCTTTCTGACGAACTTCATCCCTTTTCAAATCGATAAGCTACTTTATATTCTTTTTGGCTTGTTGAAAAGCAAAAAATTAGATTGGGAAATGAAAGAACAAATGATAGCCAAAGTGAAGGACAATTCTGATTGACTTCAACCAACAGTAAATTTTTACATGGTATGCTAATGCGAAATGAGCTTTGAAATTTGGAGAGATGAGAAGGAGGTAAGGTAAGAGGAAGAGGAGGAAGAAGGAATGCTTTTTTGATCAATATGGTGATTATCTGAGTCTCTCCCACCGCTCTCCTATCATCTAAAGATTCACATTAGGCGGAAGTTTTGCCTAGATGTCCCCCTCTTCCCTTTCACAACTTACAAACGGAAATGGACTACTCATTAAACAAACGAAATTGCCCCGAAGATGCCCTAAGCCGTAGGGAAACATTCATAAAAACAGTTCTCTTTTTCACCAAATCTTATGATTTATTCATTCCGTCTCTTCCTCACTCCCGTTTTGAATCTTAGATTCTGGTAATGTCTTTTCTTTCTACAGATCACTTTTTGAACAGTATTTTTAGCTTCTGGATGGAAAGAATTTTAATAAAGAAACCAAATGATTTTATTAGCCGTCAGAATTCTTAAACTCGTGTTACTGAATCACAAATCAGACATGGTGTAGGAGAAAAAAACAACCGGAACCGTCCGGTAGTTAAGGTTTAATTCTGAAACGTGTCCGCTGTATGATGGAAATCTCCTAATGAATTAGAATGAAATGAAAATACGAAACGAGTTGAGATCGGTTCAAAGAACAGCAAGCCCTTAAATTTGTCACGTTAGTCTCTATAAAAGCAGCATGTAGGGGTCTTTCTTCAAAATTACATTCTTGTTATGTTTCATTCTGTCTTTCCAACTACTGAATTCTTTTCGCTTCATTTACGGAACGAAGCATTGCGTGCGCGCAAACGAAATCAGCAAAGCAGCAAATAAGTAAAGGTAAATAATATCGCTGATAAGAGGGCCTAAAAAGAAAAAAGAAACCATTCCGCAAAATTTCCATCACCTGATGCTCAACTGCTGGGCAATAAGCTAATGAGTAACAATGTATTTATCTGCATGGGCGATCAAAATTTACTTTTTTGCTTATCTCATCAATTTGATTTATTGAACCGTTCATCATCATTCCAATTTTAAATATCAATCTATTCAGACAGTGAGAAATAGATGTGTTCGCAGCGCAGAGTTTCACTTTTTTTCCAAATTTCCCTACTTGAATAATGACATGTTGGAAGTAGAATTTTAAACAAATCCAAAGCTATCGCATAAAGAATTTATTTGTTTAAATTTTGTCTCAGAGATTAATCACTGCAATTTAAAATACATCAAAACTTCGAAAGATTCAGAAATAGCTAATTTGTCATAATATCCTTTTTGTTTCATATGCTATATTAAATTTGATATAAATCGTCCGATACTTTCAAAATGCACCATTGGTGTTAAATATAAAACTTGAGATATAAAAAAAACCAGGTGACGTGTATAAAGTTAAAAAATTGGATACATGAAGTAAATGATGATGTAATGAAGAAATTTGAAATGAAGTTACCTATTATTAATTAATGTGAAGGAAGGAAGTTGATAAACTTGAACATTTAAATTTAGCAAATATAAATCAACGCAAAACAAACTATTCATTTTCTCATTTTTCTGGATAAAATATTTCATTTTGAAAAATTCAATTATACGCCATTATTGTTTTTTATAAAATAAATGTTGTTCTTTGATCGATGTGATGTTTTCATTCAAGCTTAAAAAATTAGCATTATATTACTTACTGAAGTCTCCATATATCTCACCATACTTTGTTTCAATAACATTTCGAAATTTTTATTTTTCTTAATCCACCAAACAACTTAAAAGAAGTCTGTATACCCTCAATAAGAAAGATTAGCGAAGATTGTTAACTCTGAGAATCAAAATTTTGAACTTCATGCAGTACCCATTATTCATTAATGTGAATTTAGGTTGTGTAAACAATCATCAATTTTTTTTTCTTTTGTTTCCCGGTGCTAGCATTTTCATTCAGAATATAATCATATTTAAGGTAAAACTATCATTATGAGCCTATATTATTCATAAGTAAAACTATCATCGAAATATCATATGATGAGGAGCGATTGTGTCATAGCTTATTTTTATCTTATGCTTGATACTTGACATTATTCATCAAAAAATCTGCAGCATTCCTAACCGAAACTTGAAAATTATTCGGACTTTTCGATTATTCTGCAAATTGACACTTTTTCTTAAAATTTTGCACTTGATTTTTATTTCTACTTGTATCCTATCAGTCATTATTTTAAGACTTTCTAAGCATTAAAAAACAATTTTTTTTGTTTTTGTTGTTGTTTAGAATCTGATGTCATATTTACTAATTAAAAAAAATTAAAAACTGTTGATTATAAGTTTTTCTAGATTATTTACGCTGATTTTCTGCCATACATCCTTATCAGTGCATCGTTATCATCCGATGTAGACTTGCCTTTCATTTTGTGTGAACAAAGCTCCTTTTTACTCATCATCGGTTCAATGCTCATTTCTCAAAATATTGATGCTGCGATACAGAAATGAAGGCAGCCAACGAAAGATATTAATTGAAAAGAACGTTTTATCTTATTGTCAACATTATCCGCTCCTCGAGCAATGCGAATCTTTCTTCAACAACAACTGCACTTCATCTATTTCACTATTTCACTTCTTCGATCTGTTTGTCCGGAAGTCTAACTTTATGCATACCGGATATGATGCATCTATTCCAATTACTTTTACCTTCTGATAGATAAAATTAATGTATTAAGTTCAATTTAGGATGTGACGAAAAAAGAAGAAAATCAATTTCTACTATTTAATCTTCCTATCAATCATTTTGATACTAACTGTCATCATGTAGATTTTATTATTCTTCCTGAGTGGCAAATTTGTGAAATTTACAACAGTATACTTTAAGACAAGCATTTAGATATAATATTTACCTTAGCAAATAATCAAAACAGTACGCAACTCTACATCTCAATTCTTTCCCATACTGATTTAATCAAAATTAGAACAAAAAACTAATGACAAAAATAACTAAAAAGATACAAAATTTGGTCACCCGAACTTACTAAATGACCTTATATTACATAGTTTGACCTCAATAACCTTACCATTAGCTAAACAAAAGACACTAAGATTGTTTTGATGGGTGAAGCAATATAATTTAAGGAACATAATTTCTAAAGGAGTATAATTTATAAATTCACAAAAA